GCAGCGCTAAGCTATTATGTCATCGCTGGCGGGGGAGGGGGTGTCCTGCATAGTGCAAATACGTCAAAATATCATTGTACTAGCCTGTAGATGAACAACATTAAAACATTTCTATTGTTATTATCCTACTCTCATGAATTATGCGTCAATGTTTGCTGCAAGCACAGTTTGTCAATTCGTTAGTTTAGAAGGTCGAGTCCTTTACATCTTAGTTACGGTTTTGTTCCTATTCTTTGTACTTCGTGTCTCACTTTATTTCTGTAGCTGTTTATTTTGACGAATTACGACAAAGGTTTTCTTATCATTCTTTGGTATCATGCGAGTATATTCCTCGGGGTTCTAATTATGTATATTCTGTCACTTTTCTTAGGCATAAAACTTCTATCGGCAGAAATTTTACTTTCATATTCATCCTTTACTATCAAATTTCCACTCCTGTGTAGTAAATTTTATACGGGCATGAATTTATAAAATTTTAATAATGCAGCTTTTCTAACTTTCAAGTCAGAAGGTCGCTGGTTCGATTCCCGATGAAGGCATTGGATTTTTCAAATTACCTAATCCTTTCAGCCACACTATGGCCCTGGGATCGACTCAACCGTCGACAGAAATGAGTACCAGGAATCTTCTTTGGGAGTAAAGGGCTGCCGGCGCGTAAGGCTGACAAACTTACCGCCATCCGTGAGCTGACTGTCTAGAAAATTTGGGAACCTCGACTTCTTACAATTCTATGGGCCATCGCGGCCTGTTACACATATAGTTTAGCTTTACCTTTTTTTTTAAGTCTAGCACCCAAAGCTTACTTAAATATCATATCAAATGAATTTAAGTTCTATATTTTCTGTTTCACAATTATTTCTTAATTAAAATGTGTATCCTGTATTTAAATTTGTTGACCTGGTGAACAAAATTTTTCTCTAATAAAATTCTACACTGTTAAAGTGAGAGAAGAGGGACGAGATTGAATCCGTTGGTACCCCCTATCAAAGAAATTTATTGTACCACCCTCTACTGATGGGGTTGAATGATAGACGGGGAGCTTTCCTGGATTGATAATTAGCAGAAGAAATCAAATTACTCAGAGAGACATGCATCTTAATATTATTTTTTCCACAGGAATTCCAACCTGGGCCATGTTGGGATTGAACCCGGGACCTCAGCAATGGAAATCTGATGAATACACTACTAAACTCAGGTAAGGAGCATCTCAAACCATACAGCTACCCTCTATCTAGAGTATATTATTAAAAGTTGAGGATATAGCACGGCCCGCTTTAACGTTAAAGTTTTCTGTATTTTACCCGCAGATTTTATTTATGTGTTTCCTATGTTGCTCTCTATAAACAATGACTATTTACATCATAAAGAGCGCTAATGATGGTCTATGACACGATTAATGTGTTTCTACGTATGCTTCTGTCCTTGATAATTATAGGGTGATTCTACATCTTACTTTACCCCCCCCCCTTCAGGTTTGAATTGTTGTCTTCTGGATTACGTCACATAGTAGCCATATGCATTGTTACCATTGTTGCACAGAAGCTTGGCACATCAGCAGGGTAGAAACAGACGCAGCAGGGTGCATCTCATCTTCTGGGATGTACCGCCATGTGGTCAGGTGGAAGTTTATCGATGTTTAAGAGGAATTTACTACTTCCATTTTTGCAGTAGCACAACTCAGAAGATAGTATTATTTATAATCATCGTTGTGAGAACCTCAGCTCTAACAGAGATCAGCAGGTTTCTTGGATATGTTGGTACCTTTATACACATATGTACTGCGTCACAATCTAGGGGTCACAATCGAAAGTCTCCAGGATATGAAAACCTGATATCTAATCATGTTCATATTTATAAGTTCAGGAGAAAGAATTTTTGTGTTGAATTATAGAATTCACATCTTGAGGTCCACGTGATTTCGCATTCAGTCCAGTTTATTATTATCATTTGTTTTTGTTTGTTCACTTTCTCTCTATTAATGTGTTTTCTCTCTCCAGCGTTTGCTTGTAATTTGTTGTTGTGTTTGCCCATTATGTAATTACCTATATGTGCAGTATGATGAGGCTGTAATTGGTCTTGTGATTGTTTACTCGGCGCCAAAATAACAAAGAATGGCATTATTATTATTGTTATTATTATTAAATGATATTAACATTAGCCTTTGAGCTGGTGACTTGGTAAAATTGAATTATTATTATTATGGGGTACGCGGTAGCGTAGTGGTTAAGGTACTATGCTACAAGCCGGAAGGTCGCGGGTTCAAGTTCCGATGAGGTCATTGGATAGGCCCTGGGGTTTACTCAGCCTCTATCAGAAATGAGTACCAGGAATTAATTAAAAAATGATTTTCCTGGGGAGTAAAGCGCGGCCGGCGCGTAATGCTGACAACCTTGCCGCCATCTTTGAGCCGATTGTCTAGAAAATGTGGGAGCCTCAACGTCTCACAACCCTATGGGCCTTCATGGCCTGGTACAGGGATAGCTTTACTTTTTACTTTTTTACTTTTATTATTATTATGTTGAGTCTGTAATTGGCCTTGTGGCTGTTGGTTCAGCACATAAATAATAAAGAATTGAATTATTATTATTTTCGATATTTAATTGAATTATTATTGTTGTTTTACTACTAATATAAATATATAAACTAAGTTGTTTTGTGTTTGGTTTGTAAGTGTTTAGTTGCTACTTCATTCTTCTTACTCGTGCTCCTTGTAATAGGCTTCTGGGCTCTTAAGTTTGCACTTAAATAAACATAAATTGAATTATTATTATTATTATTATTATTATTATTATTATTGTCAGCCTCTGTGTTCTAGTGGTCATAGTTCCTGCCTACAGATCCAGAAGTCCGGGTTCGATTCCCGGCTCTACCAGATTTTCTGAGAAGTAGTGGGTCTGGAACGGGGGCCACTCAGTCTCGTAAGGATAATTCAGGAGCTGCTTGAATGGAAAAGTATCGGTTCCGGTCTGGAAAACCGAAATTAACGGCCTTGGGGATTCGTTGCGCTGACCACGCCACACTCTCTGCCCGCTAAAGTTGGTACTAACTTCGCCGACAAGCGGCGGTCGCTCGGTCGGTATACGTGAATTGAATTTAATTAAATTTCCAAAATGTCAGCTCAGCCCTGCACTACACTCAAATGTGATTTTCCTCATATCGGACCGAATTGAAGGGCACTCCATGTGAATAAGAGATTTGCGGGTAGTTCGTTTACTAAGGTCTGTTTTTTTTATTCATTTATGCACGTACTTACGCAGTTTATTTATATTTTAATTGCAGGAATTGAGGTTCTCACAGCGGTGGTTACGAACAGTTCTGTCTTCTCGGACATACGCCATGTAGTCCGTTGACAGTCAACAGGCCTTTCCGATAAAAATATCTCTTCCATTTTCAGGGTTGAAGAGAAAAGCAAGCAAGAAAGGAGCAAGAAGTAGGCAGCAAAGTTCGTTCCATGCTGGTTTCTTGCTTGCCTTATTCGTCGATCCTGATATTGGAGAAATATTCCTCCGAAACGTCGGTTGTCTTTCAGCATACTACACGATCTTATAACCCATAAGATAGGCCTCTCCTACATTTTAATCGCTAGATTTTCTGGTGGATTTCGAGAAGTTACCGTAGTTATATCTGAACCCAAAGCAGGACCTGAAACGGCTAAACCTTATGGTATTTATTTGTTGAATTTTATATTGTGATTTTCTACGTTGTTGTACCCCGTAGCCCGGTAGGTGGGTACCAAATTTTGAGATGATTGGCAGCGTATTCAGTATATAGGTAGCAATGTCCCCCCCACCCCGAAACAGTTGTACCAACCTACCATACTGCCTACGCAGTGTAATATAGTCCTGCTTAACAAGCTACTAGTTTATCTTACAGTCAAGAATTTTCAGACATTTTATCAAACACGAATGTTCATAACCATGTCCGCAAGAGCCCGCCACTGGCTCCTTAATAGATAAATCCAGTCCACACCCTATTCTCCTCCTTCTTTAAAATATTTCAATTTTATCCCATCTACTTCTGGGTTTCTACTAAAATTCTTTATATATATATGTTTTTATTTTGAGATTTCATAACCAAGGAGACCACAATATGAATCTTTGCTACACGAAATATCATATTGTTACGTGTATGAGTGAGTGTGGACGGGTTTGAATTGGTAACTGGATTTATTGACCACTTATGGATCGTAACTACATAAAACTATAGCGCTTTCGCTAACACAAACACTCTAGAATTCACTACAGCAAACACTAAGTCTTCTCAGTCTCTTGTGTCTTCAACAGTCGTTGCCCGGTAGCGGCTTTACATTGGACGTTTCCCTTAGTCTGGGTTCCCGAACTATCCCTGTGCCTCAGCTACTAGCTTCTAACAGCAATAGTTCAAAAGGACTGACCTGCAGCGTCCTCTAACTCACTAAATCACTCAGCAACTTACTTCATTCCACTGTAATCAACTGCACTGCACTAAGTTTCCTCCTTATAACATCTAGGCACGTACCGCACAGAAAATACCGTACCTCTACTGCTGTATTCGTTGTTGCGTGAGCAGCCATCGGCGTGGACGGCTCAGGAAACACCGCTTTAGAACCAGTCCATTGGCGAGTTAGGAATCTGTTGCCTAGCAACGAGCGTTGTTTACAGAGTCATTACTTAGCAACGGGTATACATGTTACAATATTTTGTGACTTAATCGTAAATTGTGATGACATTCAATCCGCAAAATTTCACCCTCTGTGTTATCAGGTCCGCGGTTGCTGTCGTCTTCAGTTAACTTCAGTGTTTCACCAGTAGATGTCAGTGTTTGTGATCGATCCACTCTCCCTTGAACCGGCTCTTCCTGTCTCTCTCTCTCCCTGTGAAGCTGATATGCGCGGCAGCTAGCAAATTTTGGAATTACTGAGTGAGGGGAAAGTAGAGGGGAGGACTGAAACAGCCAGGAGCCTGGTAGGGGAGGGGATCCAGAGGAAAATCTGACGGGAGAGAACTCTAGGATTCCTGGCGGGACGTTTCGCTCCGGTTCGCGTCTCGTTCGTGTCATATTACCCCGCCACCGCTGACCGGTAAACATTTTTACACCATCAAGATAAGTTGTTAATCTTTTTCTGTTTTTCCTCTCGTTCGTGTAGTGGTAATTTGATAACAGTTGTCGATATGTAACTTTGTATCTATGACTGGAACAGTGTAGAAACATTTCTAGGTTAGTAATGTGTAAAATAGATTTGTTGTATAATTCGTAGCAGTTGGTCTACGACAGTGATTAAACCAACTAATTTCTCTTATATATTCTTCAAGGCACGAACTGAAAATTCTTCGTCATCAGAATTAACATATCTTCAAGTTAATTTGTAATTTATTGTGTAATGTGTTTAACAATTTTGAAAGGACTTACATAAGAAATTCAAGGCTTGTTCCAATTCGATACTAAAAGATTTTATCGATCAATTTCGTATCGATGGAATTCCTTCTCGAAGAACTTAAACAAAATGAAGCTATTACATCATTCAACCTGTCTGTCTCGTCTTTATAAAATAATACCCAACTTGTTTTAGTAAAACCTTCTCTCAACGTAGCATCAGACAAAGGGCTTCTATTAAATTTAGTCCCATTCGTCATAGTCTGGATCAATTCTTAAACGGAGACTCGACAAAGTGACTGAATTGTGACAACCTCACTCCATCCTTTCAGCCTAATCCTTCCAGCATCTTCAAAGAAGAAACATGTTTCCTTATAAAGGAATTAAGCCGCTTTATGTACAAAGGCAAAATTGCATCTAAGCATAAATACATATGATTAATGTGCAGAAACTAATCAGTTATTCAACAGTTGATTAATCTCTTTGAAGTTTAGTGTGATAGGCACAGAAAGGAAAAATAACGTTCATGTTCTCTTTATCAGCTACTGCCTGGTTTCCTTTTCAACTTTTTTACAAACAGAACGTTGTGATGTGATATGTTTCCATCATCAAGTTGTGAATAATCAACAAAGTGACTATAGTTTGAAGTATGTAAGGGAAAAATAGAAGACTTGCACGAAATATTAGTGCAGACGACAAAAGCGTAAAGCGAATGAAAGCCTATTGCAGAAACGTCATACGATTTTTGGACTGTACGATAACAGTAACAAATACCAGAAGCTTCTCACGTACCACATATCTGTCCTTCTCCCATGGTAAGTTCAGAATACGTTATTTGTTGTAAGAGATATAATAGGTACCTCGCAGTGGTTGTACATATTCACATCCGGTTGGGTATTATATGTTCCCTGCTATTGTTTTCATTACAAAAGCGTTACGTGAATTTAACAGCTCTTAAATTTATTGTTGTTTTATTAATATAAAGCTATGATCATAGAATAGACTCTGTTCTCGTCCATTTGTAGTTTTATGTGTGTATTTCTCGTATGTGGGATATAAACACCGGAGTACAGGAAAAACAATTACAATAAAAAGTGATACATTGGCTCATGTTCCCATTCTGAAATTAAAAATGTAAGTGAAAGTGAATGTAAACAAGCTAGGAATTGTACTCGTGTCGTAACAGTTGTGGAGTGATTGCTCTCCTTTGTTCAAATAGCCTGTTTCGAAAAGCATGAGCTTTACAAAGAATTGTATTCAACTAAAATATATGATTTACTTTTTTCTATAAAACATTTGTTTGAAAACATTTTTCGTTTTCATAAAAATTGTTTGAAATTCGTTAAATCTTTAAAATTGCATGTAGGTTTTCATACAGGGTGTCCGTTATTGTTATCGGATTGTAAATAAAATTTAATTTTATATACAAATTTTGGTAGAATTCCTATTAACGAACATAATGGAAACACATTCAGCCGTTCTGGAAGTATTAGGCAGACGGATTTGCCGAGACAAATAGAACATTTCTGTAACTATACGTTCCGAACGAGCCATGATGATAAGAGGAATCTAAATTACAATTAACTTAATTATAAAATAGTGAAGCATATGACATATTGTTTCATAGAAATGGAAACAAAAGAGATTTTAAAAAAATAATAATAGTTATTCTTGTGCTACCTGATGAAGGCCCATGGGTAGGGTGTTAGTAAAGCTTACACATCCTTAAGTTTGACATGAAATGTGTTGAAAACTTTTCTTCATGCTCTGGCCGTTTTACCTCTGAGGTAAAATCCCAATATGCATCAGATATGAAGCTAGAAGAGCCACAGTCGTGTGAGGACGTGGTAGCAGGTGCAGATGCCGGGATGGAATCATGGTTTTCCAGCTCGTATCCAGTACTTCATTGACTATCCGCAAAAGTTGGTACTAACTTCTCCGAGAAGCGGCGGTCCCTCGTTCGGTATACTTCGCTTTCGGACTAAGACCACGGAGTTTCGTTTTTAGTATTGTATTCAAAGAGAACTGTCTGAACTCAAATGATGACCCGGCTTTGTGATTATATTTTAATGCGAGCGCAGACTTGGGTTAGAGGACTTAGATTCTATTACAGTCAAATTGAACCGATCTAGGACAACTCAGAAGTTCGCTTCGTGCATACGCTGCCTCTAAAAATCATTGTACAATAGTCTCAACATGAGATATTCATGAATTGTGAAAAAGAATACTGTTACATTTCTTAAGAATGCCGTCTTCTGGGGTGTGGCACCGTGTAGACCTTCCGTGAACAGACATTTCGGAGGGAAGTATATCCTCCATCTTCAGGGTAAAAATCCGTAGCAAGGAATCAGCTTGAGCAGGTGGCTGCAGACATGTTTGCTTGATTTGAAGCTGAAGGTTCATTTCGAAAGAATAGTATCTTATGAGATGTGAAGCCGTGTATTGGGTTGGAAGTGAGCACATGTTTCGGAGAAACATATCACCTCCATGTTCGGGGTCGAAGCATGTCGCAAATTTCTTGCTTGGTATCTTGTTCTCTTAAACTCGACAATATGTAGAGGCGAACGGAAAATGTTACGGTCCGACTTTAACCCACGGACGGAAACGTCAGTATACATTGCCCCCCTAATCGGTTCCCACATGCTCACAGAGAGATGAACATGAATTCTGCGGTCATTCAGCCTGCATCTTAGTGATTATACTACCTGGGGTACATGTATTACATTTAAATATGATAAACGTTTGAAGATAATCTGTCTTTGATGTTCTCCCGGCAGTGGTTTTGAAGAGTTATATCTTCTGGGACTTGAAAGCTGTGTAGTCCGTTGAAAGTCAACTGAGGGTTCGGAAGAAAATGTGTCCCTTCGATTATTTTTCAACCCTGAAAATTGAGACAAAATATTTTTCCGAAACGTCGGTTGACTTTCGACGGACTACATAGCGTTACATCTCAGAATATAGGTCTCTTCATAGCCACATCTGTAGGAACCTCAAATTCGGCTTGTTTTAAGTTTGTATGATTAACGTTTAATCTGAATAGCATTTAACAGTGAAATAAATCAGGAAATATATCTTTATCCTGAATTTGTAAGAGATCCAGTAGAACAAGTTGGTGATTTATATAGACGATCTAATATTATTGGCGAAATTAAATCTATGGTGGAAAAATTTGGAGCTCGGTGTACAGAGACAAAATAAAAATGTAAAGCTCTCCTGTAACAGGCCATGGAGGCGCATTTGGTTATGAGACGTCGAGGTTCCCAAATTTTCTCTAGACAATCGGTTCACAGATGGCGGTGAGGTTGTCAGCCTTACGCGCTGGCCGCCTTTTACCCCCAGGAAGATTTCTGGTACTCATTTCTGTTAGAAGCTGAGTCGACGCCAAGGCCATAATTGGACTGGACGGATTAGGTCAATTGAAAAATGCAATGACCTCATCGGGAATCAAACCCGCAACCTTCCGGTTTGTAGTATAGTGCCTCAACCAACTACGCTACAATGTGCCTCAACAGAGACAAGATATGTGTACAATGATACAAAATTGTGGACGCCCAAACGTGCTGTGAAGCGGTCACGCGGAAGGCTGAGGAGGTGTAATAGTAATCAAGTAAATAGACTGTGTGAACGGGAGGGAAGAAGTGGTGTGAAATGGCGGATTTTGCTGCTAATGATGCTGAACGTTCAGGTTTTGTTCCCGGAGAGCCAGTTAATCATTGCGTCAACAAGCATGGTAAAAGTAATTGCTACTACACCTACAGAGTCTACACTTCTAGTCTCACTTCATAACTTTCTGTAACTCAAGTGCTTAGGGCATAAATAGAAGCAAGAAATTTGGCCTTCAAAAATTTTCCCTTCGTGAAGCAGAAAATGTTTTGTTGAAGGTTTTCACGGCGGTAAAATTGAGGAATTCTGGAAATACTTCTCTTGGCTTATTTTGGACTTCACCCATCGTCTGGTATGTAAAAGACAAAAGATCACGACGTTTCGGAGACAGATCCAGTCTCCGAAACGTCGTGGTCTTTTGTCTTTTACATACCAGACGATGGATGAAGTCCAAAATAAGCCAAGAGAAGTACAGTATACACCATCGTTAGAATCCTTTCAAGTCAATTCCGGAAATGTTTCAGTCTCCTTGTTGTGACTGATGGCTTATACTGACTCCAGTGGATAAACATATGTGACATTCTTCCAAATTTAGAATATTATTTCGATTCAAAATTATTATGTATCTGAACACTGAGTTTTATCTCAGCTCACGGATGCCGAAATATATTGAGTGTAATATCATTGATTTTACAGATATAACAAAGGGGCTTGATGACACAGCAGATAAAGCGACCAGTCAACGGCACGGACGACAGGCGAATAGGGGCTGAATTCCTGCAGAACCGTGGGTCACTCTATTCTCTATAGCATCCTGACTGAGTCCAGGACCCCATACAACTTCCTGTCCCGTATTTATTTGGGGATTTTTCAGTGGATATAAAACGACAGGGGCATTAATCACACCATTCACTGTCATTTAATGCCGAGGTTAAGAAATGGCGGAGCTACAACTCCGATCTCCCATGCACCTTTGTGGAGTAATGTTTTATTAATTAAGGTTTTTACTTTTTTGCATTTGTTAGGAATTGACTGTTTACGGTTCTTTCTCCCTCCTCTTACTCCCACTTTACAGAACGGGGCTGATTTCTCAGTTTCATTTATAATTTTTACGGACGGTAGGACTCCTTGGAAGGGTAATCAGCTCGTCGCAAGGCCTCCACCAAAACACAGGACAACACAAACACAGAATAAGCACATACACACACCAAACTTCCATGCCTTCTGTGGGATTCAAACCCACGACCCCGGCTTCCGAGAGAGCGAAGACAGTGCATGACAGACCGCTCGGCTACCGTGACCGGCAGTGTATAAGAATAATATATAAGAATTCAGTTCGTACCTGACAGGAAACAGATCCGAACCCACGATCCCGGCTTCTGAGCGAGCGAAGACAGTACATGCCTTAGACCGCTCGGCTACCGTGACCGGCAGTGTATAAGAATAATATATAAGAATTCAGTCCGTACCTCACAGGAAACAGATCCGAACCCACGATCCCCGCTTCCGAGCGAGCGAAGACAGTATATCTCTTAGACCGCTCGGCTACCGTGACCGGAACTCTTTACGGTATTTATAATTAATTATTTATTCTTAATTATGAAATAATTACATATTTGTAGGATTTGAGGTTCTCACAGCGGTGGTAAGAAGAGGTAAAATTTCACAGATGTTTTAACGGAATACAGGACGTTATATCCCAGGAGATAGAATTATTTAATTACACATTCTTTAACTCCGGGAACACTTATCCACTATCCTCTTTGTGTTTCGTATTTAGAATTAATAAGGAGCCTTCAGAAAGATGCTAATTACTTGAAGATATAAAGTATTAGTGGTTCCCTTTAACGGGGTTTTGTTACGAAATTCAAGTAGTTTTTTGTATTCTGTATGAATATTAAGATGTATAAATGGGGAAAATTAAAATTGCAAATGAGTTATAAATTAGTACAATGCTTTCTTTCTTTTCGTAAGATAATAATTAATTTAGAGAAATTGTAGCCTCATACTGGAAGCGGGGATTTGATCCTTGCTTGGAGCCTCTTTTAAGCTCTTGAAGACGCCCCCCCCCCCAGTTTCAAATGAGAATCGATGTGCTCTCTTGGTGATAAAGTCGGACGGGGAGTGAAACATATTTCTATTGTTGAAACGTGCACATCAGCGTAAGAGTCACAAAGCAGATTTCTCTTACTGGGATAGCAGTTATGCATTT